AGAGAGAGAGAGAGAGAGAGAGAGAGAGAGAGAGAGAGAGACAGACAGACAGACAGACAGACAGACAGACAGACAGAAAGACAGACAGACAGACAGACAGAGACAGAGTTATCTGAGATCTGAACTTGGGGACACTCGGGCCACTGCCCTGCTCTGGTATTTTAGGCAAAGACCTGCTTTTGGACATTGTATGGAGACTGGGACTTCGGGGACATTCGGGATTGGCGACATTGACGACTTGGCCCCTCGCTTCTCTCTTCCCCCTTCGTCTCCCTCTCCCTCCTACTTCGTCCGAGGATGATCAGGGGACAGCGCCCCTTCCTTGTATGCTGCGCTGCCCCCTTCTCACTGTGTGATGCATATATGAGTGTGCATTGGCCATTCTGATATTGCTGTGTGAGATGTATGTTCAGTCTTCCGCTGCGTTTATATAGTCTCTTGCTTTGAGTCGACTCCTTGGATCTGCGCTACACTTGTCATATTTGGATGTGTATGCAAAAGTTCCCCTCTGCTGCATGCCTCTCAGATCCTTTCTTCCCCCCGCCCCATGCTTACTACAGTCTCGCCTTGCGATGCTGTTTGTTTTGGGCCATACATGTGTTGACTCTCTCGCTGTTGGCCGAGCAGCGGTCTGGCAGACTGTGTCAATAGGCCCTCGGTCGTAATTAAGTATGATTAGAACTTGTAACAACAGATGCTGGCATGTGGCAGTGGTTGTGGCTGCCATGTCCTTTTTTTGTGTTTTTGGTAATTTCATCCGAGGCCATGGATGGAGGCAAGCTGAGCACCACCAAGAGCTTGTAATTGTTATATTTATTTTTAACTGTTTTTCTTTTGTGGAACCTGCTGTTGTGGTGATGGATTGGTTAGCTGTTGGAGTCTCATTAATGAACGAGTATGAGTTTCAAATGCAGATTTCCACCCCTCTTTGACCATCAGTTTCTTTCCTTTTTTCAAGACATAGTGGCATTACCAACCAACAGTTGTGCACCAGCAAGATCTTGCAATTGTTTTTAATTTTCCAGTTGTGATGGATTGGGTAGCTGGCGGACACTCACTAAACGCATGTGTGAGTTTCAAATGCAGATTTCCGCCCCTGTTTGACTCTCGTCTTCTTTTTTCTCTCTCAAGACATAGTAGCATTACCAACCAACTGCTGTGAACACTGCCTCCTACCTAGTGAGTCTGTTGGTGCTAGCTAAAGAATCAAGGGTTCCGTCTGTTACAATCTCGCAGAAAAACAGATCATTCCTGTTTCATCTAATTTAGTACCTTGTCGTTTATGCCTTGTCTTGTGTTTGTTTGTGTATATGTGTGTGTGTGTGTGTGTGTGCGTGTGTGGATATGTATGTGTGCTTCCTCTTTCTCTCTCTTTCTTTGTGCAATACATATTGTGCTGTCTGGTCTGTGGCGAACAACGAATAGATAGCATTCCGGATGATTGAAGAAGACCTTGGGCAACCACTGACGTCGGTGTTCAGCAAGATTTCAAAAACTCCTGTTGCAGCAGCCAGTTTGGGACAAGTGTACAGGGGTACATTAGCAAAGACCGGAGAGGAAATTGCTATAAAGGTGAGATTACCTCATCCCTGTGTGGGTTTGCCAGTATGTCGGGAAACTGAAGAAGGGGCTAGGGAGGGGTGGCTCCTTCAAACGTGGTAGAATTAAAGAGTTTACCTCAAGAAGAGGTAAAGGAAGAAGATGAATCACCTGCTGGCTATGACTGCAAAACCTAGGAAGTTCTCACGCCCTATCTCACACCCTGCTGGCTATGACTGCAAAACCTAGGATGTTGATGCCACGTACATTGGTCTTCGACTTCGATGTGATCCAGTCGCTTGAACGTAGCAGCTTGGGTTTTCTGTCTATCGCTCTCGCTCGTATTCCTTGCCAAAACATGACAATGAGGTAATGGACAATAAAATGCTGTCGAGTATTTTTGTTTGCTTCACATACCTACCCCTTGAACTGGCAGCTAAGTAGTAGTTGTGTGTGAGAGTAGTGTCTTACAAGAAATGGATCCTCCACAGTGCACAAGAAGACTAGCGTGGGTGGCCAGAACCCATCAAGGATTATTTATAGTTGCAAACAGGATGACTCGACCACCCTAATATCCGCCTCTACAGCACAAGCTGAAGCTGGTATGTCAGCCCATGCATGCTTGCTCTAATCCCCACATAATGTGCTTCGTCCACCCAGGGCACTTTCCAGGCACCACCTTTCTCCCACGAGATGCACCAGAGGAGGTTGGCTCTCAAGGTAGCATGCACATGCAAACTCACAATGAGAGAACACTCGAGTGACACGCTCTTCCTCACGGAAAGAAGAATAATGGAAGGTAGATAGGGTAAGGGACACTTACTTGATAATGATGCCCCCAACTACACATTATCTCACCAACTAATGATGCCGTGTTTGATGACCGGTCAGCTCAGGAGCCTCCAACATTACAATGCCAATGCTGCCTCACACAATGGCAAGCACCAATATACTCTCATCACAGTTCCACTTAATCCGTACTTCATTCACCCCTGCACTCTCTACCCAGTGCAGGGGATCATTCACCAGCCGCTGAGAAAGTTAACAACACTGCCAACGGCATACAACGACACTGCTGGCACCATCAGCCCTGACTCATCAACTTAAGGGGCGCTGGTGAGGGAACCGCGTTCTGACACCAACATTGCAAGGACCATCAATGAGAACATAAATCTCCAGCAGCGGAAGATTCAAAGCAGAATGGTCATACATGAGCAAAGTTGAAAGTAGAATCATAAAGCCAAGATCACACCGAGTGAGCACACACTGACACTAAAGAGAAAGCCTGACTTCTCGCCGCCTCTCGTAAATGGAACGACACTCCGACGATGTGACCACTGTGCTACCTTCCTACTGACTCACTGTGCACAGCCTACTTCTTTCTCTCACAGTCTCTCTTCTCTGTGCACTGTTCGCTTGTCCAACAATGTTGCAGCGTCTGACCAGCCTGAGTGTGCTCCTTGGCCATGGTAAGGTAAGTCTGCCTGTTGCCACTGCTGTCCCTGTCCCCTGATCACCCAGCACCAGCGCCCCTTCTTCGCCCTTGGCGCAGATATGGTTGCCGCTAAGCAGGAGCAGCTGCCGTGCCTGTTCCTCCCCTTCTCCTTTGTCAATGCACAGGGGCCTGGTGTGCTTGCTGGCAAGTTGGCGCTTGCAGCCAGTGCCTCCAAAGGTATCCAATGCTGTGGCCGCCTCCTCTTTTCTCTCGTCCTGGAGGTCACGGCAGCCTGACTGGTACTGGGATCATCCCAGTGTGGAACCTGCTGAGATCCTTCCAGACTAGCTGGACCTCAGCCTCTGCAATCAACTGGAGGCTGGGCCTACCGGTTAGCTGGAAAGGCTGAGTTCAGCCTGCCTTCCAAGTTCCAACTGCTTCATGCGAGCCTCCCCAGAGGCCTGGTAGAATTTGTTTTTTATAATGCATGGCAGTTTTTGCAACCCTGTGCCTTCGCTAAGGATTGAATCATACTTAGAAGTCACAAACAAGCTCGGTATGTGTGATCAACGGATGAAAAATGGTGATGATGATCGTGATGAATGCAGGTACAGCGACCTGGGATCGAGCCCATCATTTACCGGGACCTCTTCCTGTTCCGGATGCTGGCATCGTTTGTTAATGGATACTGCCTGAGGAAGTTGGGATGCAATGGAGAGTTGATTGTCGATGAGTTTGCAGAGAAGCTCCTAGAAGAGCTGGACTACAAGCAGGTGAGTTTCAACTTTTGAGTGCACTTGCTTGTTTTCTCTTAAACTTCGCTGCTTTGCAGAAGAAATGACTTCAATATATGTAATAAGACTTTGCAAAGACGAATAAAGAAAAGAAAAACGGTTTCTCTCTGGTGGTGCTGATCCAACTGTGCCTTTTAGTGTATGTAGTATGTACTGGTATATTACCTTTCTTTTTCTGAAGCAGTGGCTTTATTAAGCTGGGAACTAGGTCCAGTGTCCCTTATAATCATGAAAAAATCACTCAGGCCTCTCCCGTTATGGCCTGGAGAACCTGAACAAAGGCATTGACTACGAAGGATGTACCCCTGTTCTGGCCCTCCTTTCTTCTTGACTCATCTGCTATTGCTATCTACCCTTTCTATCTTGTTCTAACCTTTGACAACATTGATTGCTTCCTCTTGGAAGGCTTAACTGTCAGGTTTTCAACCTCTGCCTGAGCTATCTTCTCTGACTTTCCTACCCTGTGCTGTTCCAAAACCTTTTTTTTTTTTTTTTCTGAGTGGGGATCTGGGCCGCCCGGGTGACCGGCAGGGGCCCGGGGGAGGTCCCGGGCGGTCTGGCCGGGCAGGGCACCCGGTTGGGGGCCGGGCCCCCCCAGCGCACTCACCTGTCGGGGGATCTCGGACCCCCTTTCGGACCCCCTGTGTGTGTGTGTGTGTGTGTGTGGCATACTGGGTAGCCACACGGGCCCTGTAGGACCCGTCCCGGACATTCAGCCTAAAAGCCTAAAACTTAGGATCTACAGGCCCCGGTCGTTTCAGCCTGAAAACTGAAAAACGAGGGTCTGCAGGCCCTACTCCGTTTCAGCCTATTTCTGGGTCTTTCAGACCCAGAGTTTTTCCAGCCTGAAACGGAGGGCTATTCTTAGGCCCTGGGCTATTTTTAGGCCCTCATTTGTTTCGACCTGCCCTAAGATT